TGAAATTATATCAACCCTCTATTACATGTAAACAGAACCACTGAATTGTTTGTTATGAATACGAGGTGCGATCGGAAAGTTTAAAGACTGTGTCAATAGCGGGCGAACCGGATGTAGTACGAGCTTATGCCGCTAGGAGGTGCGGCCTACATTCATAGTGAATCAGTGTGCCAGCCGGCATCATCGAATTAGCATTTGTTTCTTAGTTACGGGCGTTTTGGTAGTGCATTACACCGACCCTCCTGCGATTTCGGAATGGCGGATTTTCATGAACAAATCAAATTTTGCCAAAGACTCGCCAAAACGGCTACGGAAACCTATGAAATCCTAAAGCAAGCATTTGGGGAGTCCGCAATGGGTCGTGCACAAACTTTTGTGTGGCATTCACGTTTTAAAAATGGCCGAACCTCTGATGATGATGACGAGCGTTCTGGACGACCATCTTCGAGCACAACGCCCGAAACTGTTACGAAGATCGACGTCGTACCATCAACGATTTGTGCGACATTGTTGGGATAGGCTATGGGACCTGTTAGCTGATTCTAAAGGAAGAACTCCACATGCGACGCATCCTGTCAGAGGACTAGAAGCAGAATCGACTTCTCGTTTGTCAGGAGCTGAAAGATCTTGCAAGAACCGACCCCAGCTTCCTTTCTAAGCTCCGTGTGACTTCTTCCTCTTCCCAAAGATGAAAATTCAGCTCAAGGGAAGGAGATTTGAGACGATAGAAGAGATTCAGGCAGAATCGCAGATGGTGCTTGACAGGCTGACAAAGAAAGATTTCCAGGGATGCTTCCAGGCTTGGCAGCGTCGCTGGGATCGTTGTGTTCACTCCCAGGGGAACTACTTCGAGGGTGATGGATGAATGTAATACCTGAGATAAGTGTACGGGTTTTTATAGGCGCAGTCTAGAAACTTTCCGATCGCACCTCGTACCTCAGTGATTTCTTACCTGGATATTAACTACTACGATAATTTACCTTCACACCAAATTTGATAAATTATTATATACAATGGTAGGAAATATTGTTAGCCACAAATGACAAAATCGATACCAGATGAGTTCGTTGGTACAAATCCATTCTTCAGACCTTGGACGTCATCCAAATTACCGTCTGGACGATGTGAAGACCAACACCTTCAAATCACGAAGTTTTGTCACCTGTAATGAGCATGAGAAATAATTATGGATCATGCAAATTTGTTAATTCATGCGAAACTGTCTATTTTACTCATAATTGTACAGTTCGTATGTACACTAATGTAAATTGATGTAGGCCTATACAGTCTATAAACAACATAACTTTAGTACTGTTATTCTTAATTTTAAATGGAGTATTATGAGAGCAGAAAAGTGTGTTTGTGTAATTTACAAATATGCTTTGTAGTATATTTCGTATTAACATCGGACTTCACATGTTACTTTGTTCGTCTTGTTGTTAAATTATTGTCGTTATAAATCCATTATTGCTACTGCATGTACAAACCATTTGTACAATATGAGATTTGGGGTTCTTATTGGACTGTGCTATAGGTCAGATGGCTATATATTATTATTATTATTATTATTATTTATTATTGATTGCAAATGGGTTTATACCCGGTGGCAGTGACCTACAATAATATACAAAACAATGAGACACAACAGAACAATGAGTTACATCAACACAATGAGACAGAACAAAAACAATAAAAAACACAACAAGAAAAGAAAACTATAAGACACAACAAAACAATGAGATAC